TGACTATTATATGCTCTTGCTAACTAAACACTAGAATAAAAACTGACCATCACAAGAAACCCACCTTGAAGGACTGGAATGATCCAAAGCTCTCGTCAATGGCTTGTGCAACAGCTCCTTGCGGCTCGCCACCAGCATCGGGAGCATGTTGGTCCAGAAGATGGTGTGGTTCAAGTGGCCGCCTCCATTGAACTTGATAGCTGGTAGAAGGGCATTCATTGCGGCTTACGTCATTGGCTGCCTCCGCCTCAACCAACTGAAAAATAAATGGTTCCTTTTAGCTTTCCTTTTGTTCGTTCATATTCTTTCATGTTTTTACAATGACAAATGGCACTGTCATAATTGTGGTGACAATGTCGGGATGAAGGGGTGGACATGAGTGACCAGCTGGCTCAGTCTTATCTGACCATTCACAAGTCCATCAAGTAGACCACAAAGGACCTTGTATGAATTTTGGGGAGGGGGGGGAGTGTCTCCCCTTTATGAGGGGTGCCATGTTAAAACTAATATAGAGATACACAATTATATATTCTATATTATGCAAAAACAATTCAGAGTTTACTAACCAATAATTTTTTTAATGATGAAATGAGTAGAGAGGCATTTTCCGGGACGGTGCCCTTAGAATGTTAAGTTCTGATATGGATCTTTAAATTAAAAAGTAAAAAACTATGCAACACTAATTCTTTAATCTAACGAACTTGATATACTAAAATGGAATAAAGACCCTAAAAATTCAACCATTTTCATATATCAGAATTACCTACATTACCTTATGAATATGATAAAAATGAATGTATAAAGCTACACTATATAAAGCTTATGAAGTGGTATTAAAGACCATAAAAATGCATTAGATTTTAAAAATTCCACCTAGCTTAGGCTTTCTGTGCAGAGCCCACAGGTCGTGGTTGTGGATACCACTTTTTTTCTCTTTACACAAATGAAACCAGCAAGCAGAACAAAAGCCTTACTGGGTGGAATAATTGGCAGGGTGGCTATATTATGCACAACATACATTAAAGGATTCATCTGCTAGGGCTAAGATGCACTAAATGTCTTCGGAAGTTCCCTAAATGCCTACCTTCTTCGTAGCGGCAATTAGGTTGTTATGTAGCCCTGGTGATGCTTTGTGTGGTGGATCTCCATGATCATGCCGGAGATGTGAGGTTCAAGGGCGTTGAAATCATACTTGAGAGGTGGCAAGCATGAGCACCTCGTTCCTCACCTGCAAATGGGAGTCGCATTGTAAGAGATACAAGGTTGGTAAACTGACAGGAAGTAAATAATACATTTAGATCTTCATGCACATGCTTTCAAGATATGGATACTGTACTAATAAGTACAATTCAAATCTGATTTATCAACTTGAAAGGGATAACTTTAGGAAAATTCTACAGGATCTATGTAACCTTCGAGCATTACATGGCCAATTTTCACAACATTACCAATCTTTCAGTTTTTGAAAAGGCTCCAATTTACACTTACCCAATTCAGCATTGATATGGGCAAACATCTGTGCAATCTGAGGACTGACTGTGCCAGCCTGAGCAACACCAGCCTGCTGTACGACAATACCCTCTACGTATGAAGCCATCTCACGGATGGCGACAGCCTCATCTGCTGCATTTGCGAACTGAAAATGTATACCCAAGTTTGAATACAGGTTTTAGAAATAAAATATTATGGATCTGCAATTTCCCTTCTTAAATAATGTCCAAATTCGTGCATTCAGTGCAAAATATAATTATAACACTTACCTGATTCTTCTTGATCTGATCCACCTCAATTCCAGTCAGCTCAGCTAACTTCTTCTCCAGGATGGAGATGTAAGCTTCCTTTGCCTCAGCCATGATTTTACTTATTCCTGAAACATTTCAAAAAATGTAAATAATGTTTCTCTTAAAAATTATGACAAACTTTTCAAAATTAATTACTTATAGTGATACATTATCTAGGTATGAAGAAACCTTCACTACATCTACCAGGAACTTTGGGTGACAATCACAGATTGGTGTGGGAGTAATCTCATCAACAGGTTTTGCAAATAATCAACCCAATGCCTCCAGGAGAATTTGTGGTGTGCTCAGATTCCACTCCAAGGGGTATTGCTGACTGGGTGCCTCCTGACCCTAATTCCAACTTGGCATATCACTCTTGACGTGCTTTACCAACTTATCTTTTCGTATTATTGGTATCCAAACCAGATTAATGCTACAGTATATTGAGATATTTGACATCAATTTCATTAAGATCGAACCTTATGAAGCCTACTCCAGTAAGGTAGATCATTTCAATAAATTTGGTGTTATGCTGTGTTAAAGACGGAATGAGATTTAAGGGTTATTCTGTATAAACATGGAATGAGACTTGAGGGATAGAAACAAGACAGTGTTTCCAAACCTTAGTCTTATACAAGAGATTGTATGCAGCATTAGCAAGGCTGCTACTCTCACAGCTTCAGTACTTCCCTTCCGTGTCATATTTCAAGACAGTTGCATGTGTCCTAGTTGAAATGAAGAGACTGATCATGAAAACTATTGCAAAAGTTACCTACAGGTTCACCCCAGCAGCAAGAGTGAAAATTTTTCGGTGTGTGTTACCTTTAAAGGAAAGCAGGTGAATAATTTATAAACTAAATATTACCCTATTTATAAATAAAATCCCCAATCAGAGCATGACACCACCTATTCTCCCTCAGGCAATCCCCAGTAGATTGACATGTGGCCTTACAGGGTACCTGACAAAGAAGACCCTGAATGACCTATTCTCTCTAGCTGCAGCTAATTTAGCCATGACAGGAATAGCTTGTCATGCAGAGCCATCACCAAGCCAGCCATAGTGTGAACTATCTGTCATTCAGAAGGGCTTGTTTAATATCAAGCTGCCAATTTGGAATAAAAATACAAGTAAAATAAATCATTACAAACCTAACGGGTACATGTGCACATGCATGTGCTAATACATGTACCTATACATTAATTTACATGCGGATACACATGTAAATGAATGTACAATCAAGAAAACTTTAATTGAAGGTTTAAAACCAGAATCGACCAATTTTACATAACAGTCATGTTGTCTTGAGTCTGGATTAGCCTCTTCACGGGAGTAATTGTGTTGTCTCTAACCAGACTAATGATCATATTGCGCAACAAAGTTCATTTGAAAAAGAAATTAATCACTTTGTAACTACCAGTTTTCTAGTGAAAGTTCCAATCAAAATTTTAGTAAACAGCATAGGCATAGTCCAGAATCTAAAGTATACTTATTTTAGCTGGCATACCATGAACAGATTAAAAATACATTTCCAAATCTAAATAAGGTATCTATTGCAAATAATTGTCATGCTTCTCATATATGACAAATGTCCTCTTAAATTCTAAATTTTGAAAACCAAAACTGCTAGCCTTTACATATACAGTAATCAGAAGAATTTGAAATCCAAAAAAATCATTAATAAAAGTGAGACTGGCATTTCTTCCCTTATTTTTACTGTGGAAATATTAATCATTCAGCTTCTCAAAGATTATTACAACCACAACCAAATATGGTTTTGTTAATATTCATATACATTTGTTAATTCAAATGCAGCAACAAAAATATATAAAATATTGGTTAATTCATATCAAACATGCAACAACAAAAAACAATAAAATGGATAAAAAATAAGTAAAACGATAGAAATACAAATCAAATCAGTAACCCAAAACTGGATACAATCTTTTTCATCCAGGTAAGCTTCACATCAAGAAACTAAAGAAATGCAGACATCCAATGCAATTACATCTTGATCCTGCTGGCTTATTATGCAAAAGAGGGGGAGGGGGGGGGGGGGGGATTCATGTCACACCTTACCGAGATTAGTTTGTTAGACCAGGCATAGAATTGTTAGATATTACTATAACTGATCCAGCACTTGAAGATTCCTTTACATTTCTTATATAAATACTTTTGACAATTCCCACCCCTCCCACCTGTCTACAAGTGACATTTTCCAAATCCAATACAACATACCAATCTGTGAATCTTCAAATGCTCTAATATACTTTAGTCAAAACAAAAAACAAAACGAAAAGGCCAAAGCTGGAACAAATTACACAATGAAACCCCTTGATATTAATTTTTTATTTATTTATTTTTCTTTTATTATTATTTATTTTTTGCGCACTACAAATCTAAACCAATCCTTGGAAACCCAATGTGTACCGAGGTTTCAATGGTAAGAAAAATTGCACAAAACTTCCACGAAACAGAGCAGACAGACAAACCACTGCCTTACCCTCCATTTTTGCAAGCTGAGTGGTTGCTCACAACAGCTTCCCTGTAACATCACATTTCATTTTGTTTGCAATATTAAACATGATCTTCAGGGACGTCCATCTATTAAATTTCACAATTTAACCAAAAAAGAGTTCAGTTTATTCTTTGCACTTGCCTCCAATCAGTTATTGCATCAGTAAGTACTTTTCGCATATTTCCTTTTTCTGTAGTTACTAAATAAGCCAATCTCTTTGGTATTAGGTGGACTGCCCTGACTAAAATCCAGAATTATATAACAGTTAATAACATGTGTACACTGGCAAAATTAAAAAGCCAGAAGGAAATTGAGAATTTACACTNGGATGCTGGAGCGTCTGGCCGAGCGAGGCCTGGAGGCGGCGGAGCGGAGCTGGCCGCGAGGAGCTGCTGGCCGCCTGGACGCGCACACCACGACGGAGCCCCCGTACCTGCGCCTCCACCGCTACCCGCCCCCGCAGCCGCTCGAGCGCCGCTCCTCCCTGTCGCCGCGGCTGGAGGCGGCCGCCATGCGCCTGGCCCTGGACCCGCCGGAGGCCGAGGTGCCGCCCCCGTTCGTGCCCGTCTTCCCCGCCGACGACGAGCAGGCCGAGGAGGCCGAGATCGAGGCCATCGAGGCCATCGAGGTCGTCCAGGAGGAGCGGAAGGCCGCGGAGGAGGCGGGGGAGCTGCTGGAGCTTCCTCGCGCCCTACCTCCAGCGACCAGGGCGCGCGACAACCAGGAGCTGGCGAGCGCCGGCCTGCTGAAGGCGACGCCCTACGCCTCGCGGCAGCTCCGCGTCCAGCGAAGCCATCGGAGGAAGGAGAAGAAGAAGAAGCGCGACACAGCAAAGAAGAAGACAGAGAGAAGATAAAAAGCGGAACAGAAAGCAGGACCGGGAGTACAGGAGACTCCTGGAGCGCGAAGACGTGCACATCACGGTGGAGGACGGCAAGCAGTTCTACGACTGCTGTCCGTCCAAGGTGGTCGTGAAGGAGATCAAGGTGGGCAAGTCGCGAGACAACTACGCCATGGACATCTCCGCGTCGCACCAGCTGTTCTACGAGCGCGTGTGCCTGGAGGGCTACGAGGGGAAGAAGTGCGTGTTCCCGTCCCGCACCAACTTCCGCAGCGGCGTCACCACCCGCTGCCACCAGCAGTACTCGTACACGCAGGCCATCGCCCGCCCCTACGAGAGCGACGGCGACTACAAGCAGGACTACATCAAGATCCGCTCGGGCTGCTCGTGTCAGATCAGCGTCGTCCAGAAGAAGAAGAGGAAGAGGAAGAGATGAGGGTCACTCGGCGCGGGGGAGAGCACTTGCTTGGCCCCACCAGATGCCCCCGCCAGAGTCCCAGTGCTGTCGCTCCAGTGCCCCAACATGTCGGCCTGGGCCCTAGCGACTATTTCCGATAGATTTTTGTTCCGCGCGCCGCGTCTTTGGGGGGAATAGACAACACTTTGATCTTTACAAGAGAAGTGGTTATACAAGCCAAAAGATATCAAATGGGTTAGTGCTGGTAAAAAACTACACGAGAGACATACTACATATACGTGTGTCATTGGTTCTGCCATCATACAATAAAATTATGAACGTACAATGGTCTTTCGCAGTCTGCTTTACATGGCAGCAACAAGCTGCAGACGCAAACATTTTTGTAGGATTTTTGCCCGCACTGGTAGTACAGGAGATTGTGTTGTGTCACAAAACATCCCTTCCGAAGAGAGAAGTTGCCCTCTCCCTGGGGCGCTCTTGAGATCAGACGAGCCGAAGAACTTTATCTAGAGAGAGAGAGAGAGAGAGAGAGACAAGAGGGCGCTCCGAGCGAGAGAGAGGAGAGAGAAAAGAAAGAAAGGAAGGACCCTAGAGAGAGAGAGGAAGGTGCAGGAGGAAAGAGCGACCCGAAGAACAAGCAGGCGTTGAAAGGGCTAGCGAGAGGCAGGTGAGGCTTCGAGGTTGGCAGAGGTAGGCCGCCCCCTCTCCCTGCGCCCGCCCCCTGCTTCCCTCCTTCCCATTTCCCTCCCTCTATCCCCCCCC